TCCAAGTGCTATGATTTCAAAAGTCTCATGACCACCCTAACAGTTTTGTCAAATTGTATTCCTATTTACAGAGGAGGAAAACCACAGGCTGGAGGAAAGAGCTGACTTGCCCAAGCCGGTGCAGCAGGTATGATTTAGGAATTAGGTTTCCCGCTCTCTCGGGCTGATGCTGTTTGCTAAATCAAAGGCCACAAGTGAAAGTAATTCTTATCACTTAAGGGTTTAAGGGCACGTGTACCTTTTCTCCCCCAGGTTTCATCAGTTTACCTTGCTGCCAGTTTCTCACTGGAGCCAAACGTTTGCAATTCAGAGGACAGTCTTTGATCAACTCCTATCCTTGATACCCAAACATATCTTCACAGTTTTTATTGGTATTATTGGGGGCGGAAATGCACCCTGAGAATGATGAAAAGCACCATCCCTAAGCATACAGTCCCTGGAGAGTAAAACAGCTCAGGGGGTTACTGCCTAGATGAGATTGTATGGGCTCAAAGCGACAACACTCCACCCAACCCTCTTTTCTATCTCCTTTCCCTCTCAACAGGAGAAAGCAAGTGAGAAAACAAACCAGCCTGCATCTGATGATAGCCTGACTACACTCCCACCCATCCATCTGCTCAGCACACTTCATGGCAAAAGCTCTCCTTGGAAGTGATTGAAAGGGAATAAAACCTTGCAGAGGGAAAGAAACTTAAATGTTAAAACTTGACCTTCCTTGTCCCTTTCACAAGTAATTACATTTGGAGTGTATGCATTGCATGGATGGACTGTCTTTCCCTGCTGATTCCAGAGACCTAAACTTCCCAACTGCCTTGAAAGGAAAAACTGAAGAGTATACTTTTGAACCAAATCAATATTTAACTTCATGCCTGAAAATAGAACAACACAGTGAAGATGCCAAAATGGATGACATCTAAAGAGAAATATCAAATACACTGCACTTGGGTCACTTCTAAGAAATTTCTGCCAATTTTATAGTTTGAAACTTGCACTTAGCAGATTGAGGATTTTAACAGCTTTATTGCTGGTTCCAGGCCTGCTTGCTTTCTTTCTTCCTTTCTTTCCAGTTCTAAGTCTAAGGAAGCAATAATATAATGGAGGGGGAGGTAGTGATGGGGAGCAGAAATCCAACTCTGAGTTAAAATCCTAGATTGGTTATTCAATAACTGTATGGCTTCAGGCAATTTAGGTAATCTTAATTTCCTCATCTGTAATGTTGCTGATCACTGGCGTTACTGAGAGGATTCAATGTAAGCATAGGGTACATTCATAGTAGATGTTCAGAAAATGTTCCCACTTCTTCATCAGTACAATGACTACATTCAACCTCAGGCCAAGAAAGAAACTGAAAAGGACAATGACTCAAATTAATCACACACCAAAGCGGTTCCTGGTACTAAACATAATACTGCCCTAAACCAACACTTCCTAACCTGTTTTTTTAAATCTGTTTGCAGAGAAGCCTGACATCTGCTATCTCACAGATATGGCAGCCAGGATGGAGGGCTTACAATTATCTTTTCCTCTGAAACTCAAAAAGGATCCTTAGGATAGCTCAACAAAGGAATTGAGGGGCTTAGATTTTAAGTCGTCAACAGGGACTGTAAGTCAAAAATTAGTGAACAATAAAAGGAGAATCTAATGTCCAAAGCAGTATTCTTGGACAAAGACCATCAATTGTTCACAACACCCAAAAATCACCTTCATCGCATCATCTTTGAAATAAAGGACATGGAAGTGTGTGTATGTATTCCCAACAATTAGACAATGTTTAACAAATACAATGGAGAGCCATATGGATAATAAACATATGGGACCCCCAAAATATAGGCCAATGTTACTTGTAAAATACACATAATATATACACCTTAAAGGAACAAGATTTAAGTAGATGATTGAATTTATAATTTATAAAACACTTCTAGAGATTGTAACAAACATGGTACACAAAGGCATATCAACTTACAGCTCTACCTGATAGGAAGGTCCAAGGATGCAAATAGTTAAACGCACAAGAAGTCAGTAATCTCTTTAAATATTAGTTTTATAACTATTATTGTAATAATGCTGAAGACAAGTTCAGAGTGGGAGGAGATGCCGTAGGAGGATTAAGCTCCTAAGATGTGGATCCAATTTTTACTAGTCATTAATTACAGAAGTTCAGTAACTCAAATCTCTATTCACAAATCCCATTTTTCCCCATAAAAAACTTATTTTTTAAAGTTTATCCCTCCACTAATCTTAACTCAGCTATTAACTTTTACTCTCCCATCTTCCCTTTCATACCAATTTTTTAGATATATACAATTTAAGTCGTATGGACCGATGAAGATTCATTGAGTGGGTTTGGTCTCTGAAGATTTTCCAGAAATAGATGGACTGCTGTCATTTACATTTTTATTTACTCTTCCCCAATGTTTTAAATATTCTAGAGTTGGGAGGGGTAGGCTAAAAGGAATGTTTTCCATGCCTGAAATGGCTCATTAATTATTGATGTAAGCCATACTTACAATGAGATGCTTGTATATTTTTCTGTACAGTATTAGTACCCTGTTTTCCTCCCACTCAGATGATCTTTATCATATAGGCAAATAAAACTAATACCAATAATGCCAACATGATTCCTACTGTCTCAGGGCAGCGAATTCCTCCATATATATACTTTAAACATTACCAACTACAATTTGTTCTTCGAGCTTGAATTAAATGGTTTGAGCAGATTTCTTTAGCAATTCATGAAGAAAAGTACAGTTGAGAGCATCACATGCACAACTTAAGAAAAAACCTGACAAGAGAAGTCACCATTAACTCTGTACTTCTATCAGCCGATAAAGAAGATTCCATTTAACTCCTTACATGTTTTTCAAAGAGCAGCTGGGGCTGACTAGGGAGACTTACATTAACCACTACATCAATGGTTCAAGTGTATCCCTAACAAGAGAGCCCCAAGCTGAGACTTTCCCAAAAGCTTTGTCTCAGCCCAAAAAAGGATAGCCTAGTATTCTTTGGTTTTGTTATTTGTCTGCTTCGAAAGGCTTAAAATACTGTAAACAATTAAGAAAGGAACCGCATCCAGTAATGGTGTGTGACACACAATAGAGTAAAAGTAGTCACAAAACCAACCAATGCCCCAAGGAGCTTGTGATGTAGAATCATGAGTTTCTACATACTAAATTTGTGACTGCTAGACTTAATAGTAACACAAATCCACCATGTTAGCAAAGAGGCATTATTTTTCTAAAGATCAATTCATACCATGTGTTATTAATCAGCAAGGTAACTGAAAGCTCACACAAAACATGCTATCCCAGTTGAAAACTTAATTGCATTGTTTTATCTGACTTTTCTGTGTCACTGGCCCTTCTACTTCAAGTGTGTACATACACACACTCCAGCACAGCTGGATGGAAAGACAGAAAATCCAGAGCTAGGAAGTAAGAACCATGTTGTCTGGCAGGAAGACAACAAATTTGGAATTTAAAAGGTTTGTCCCTGGAAAGACAGGTCAAGTGTGCACCCAGGCTGCCTTGAAAACTAATTAAGCCTATGCTGTTTCATTTCACAGTGTCTCATTCTGCACAACAGTGGGAGCAGCTGTGGGAGATCACAGAAGATGCAAAGCAAGGCAAGCAGCCTCATCTATCTCCCGACTGCTACAGCAGTTTCCAGGTGGCATGAAAAAGCTTCCAGAGAGCACAAAGCTAACCTGCCATCTCCAAACGCTATTCCCTATATCAAACCAGCTCCTTTATAAGCCTGAAGAAAGGCAATTTAAACGTCCCAGTGTTTAGACTCGGGTCCTTTCCCGAAGTTCTGAGGTTACATGCCAAAAACGCGCACGTAGACGCAAAATTCAGTTGCCTCGAGCCCAAGTTTCTCCTGCTGCCTAACACTGTGGAGTTCAGGGGTAACTAGCTAGGGAAAGGGAAATATACAAGTGTAAGTAATAAGGAACGCGTCCGATCTTGCCTGATCCCTTCCAGCGTCCCTTACAAGAGGCTGGGGCACTAAAACTCGAAGTTTGGGAACCAAGTGCAGTACAGACTCTGGCTGGGGTGAGAGGAGGCCGCCACACCCTCCTGAGCTCACAGCACTGACAGCCTCTGGCTGGGAGGGGCCCAGAAACTTATTCCCAGAGGAAAAGGAGAAAGAAGGGAGTCTTCAGTGTCTCACATTTGAGAAGCTGGAAAACTAGGAGAAGCGAACTTCGGGAGGGAGCCAGGGACCTGACTGGGTGAGCTGGGGGAGGGAAGGGGTCGCCCTTGGAGTCAGGACAGCTCGCAACACGTCCCCGCAAAAGTGCACATTTTTGTGGTTTAAGATTTAGGACCAAAAGGAACGCGCTGAGGCGAGGCTTCTCTCTCGTCTGGGTTTCAGATGTCTCCCTCCTTGCTTAGGGATGGGGCCGCCGCACTGCCAAGGGTTTCCTTCTCTCCCTTTTCGGGGAGCTCCCCTCCGCCAAGCCAATACGTCCGCCTCCAAGTTCGCCTTAGCGCACAGCCCGGCGCGGCGCCCCTGGCCCGCCACATGCGCCCATCTGCCCCGGACCCCGCAGGCCCCGGCCTGGGCGCTCGCGGTATGGTCCGCGAGGACCCAGGCTTTGCAAGGATTTTTTTTTTTCTTAAACAAAAAGCCTTAGCAGCTCGTCGCCCCCTCCTCCCCAGTCCGCGCCACCTTCCCTTCACGCCCACGCCGCACCTCCCGAGCACACGCGCGGCGAGATGCCTCTCCTGCCAGACAATGGGTTCGGGGCTGGCCAAGCGGCCAACCTCGAGTCCCCGGCCCCATCCCGGACCCTGAGAAGGCTGAGCGCAGGGAGGTCGAAAGAGGGAGGAGAGGAGGCAGTGGAGGCCACAATGAGGAAGGTGGGAGCCTCCCCCTTGGGACTGGAGGCTTGCTCCAGACGCCAGACGCAGGGAGAAGGGGAAGGGGCGGGGGTCCGCTGCACCGCCCGGCCGGGGGCCCTGGGGCCCTGCTCCCGGCCGCCGCCGCGCACTCACCAGCACGATGGCAAATCGCTCCTCCAGTTCACCTGGCTCGGGCATTGGCAGCTTCAAAGGCACGCTGTGCGCCCTAAAATCAGTCTGCTGCGAATCCATGCTCCCCGCGTTGCCCATGTTGGCTGCACGGCGGGGCTGGGGGCTGCTCCGGGCCCCTGGCGTCCGCGTCAGAAATCAGAACAGCTCCCGGCGGTCGGCTCCCGCCCGCTGGCGCGACCTGCCGGGTTCCCCGCCCTCTGCTGCGCCCCGGCGAATGTGCAGAGTGCGCCGCTCCCTAGCAGCGCTCGAAGCCGAGCCACCCCTCGGCCTCCCTCATGCTCCCCTCCGCCCCAGCACCGCCCTGGCCTCTTTTCCTCGGGAAGGGTCGTCAGAGCGCCGAGCGCCTATCTGCATGTTGCTCCGCTGGCACGCCGCCCCCTGCCAGCGATTGCGGCCAGCGGGCGCGTGGTTGATCCGACTTGGTCTCCCGTCCGGGCCGTGGCCGCCGCTGACACTTCCAGCTCAACGCCGGCGAACACGATGCTTGCTCGGCCAGCACCTCGAGGAGACAAATGCGGCTCCGCGCTCCCGACACAATGCCCCCTCTCGCCCGGCCCCCGCCCCCGGCCCGGCTCCGCCCACTCGCCCCGCGGATTGCCGGGACGCGTAGTCTCGGTCCAAAGTGTCCGCGCGCAGAAACCACGCCCGCTCTGGAGGGCCAGGCGGGGTTAGGACCCGCTTGAAACAGGTAGTGTGCACACATCTGCAAAGAGTTTGTCACTTTTGACCATCCCCTCACTCCAACAGAAGAACTACCTCGTCTACGTTATTCTGACACTTAGTAGGAACATTTGGCAAATGAATGAATAATCAATGATTGAATGCACGCGTTGTGATTTAAATTAAGGACCCTGATACTGCTATAGGATCTAGTTCAACAGGAGACCTCAAGGGTATATTGGGAACATCCTATTTCATAAACTGGGATGTCGGTCCAGGGGTGCTTGTTTTAATGTTCTACCTATGTATGTTTCAATCACATATATTGAAATATTTTTATAAACAAACATATACTTTTATGGATATTTATAAATATGCACTATGGATATATAAATATACAGTCAGACCCGAAGAGTTGGAATGAGAAGGATTCAATTCAAAGCAAACACCTGTCAAATAGCTATTATGCATGTTACTGTGTTCCTTAGCTAGAGAAAGAGGATTGCTCCTGCTCTGGAATACTTTCCAATCTAGTGAAGGAGAAGATTTACATAAATAACCATGTTTTATATGAGACAGAAATAAGGACAGAGTGCTTGGGGAGGCTTTGGAGATGGTCTTTGGCTGTAGCTATCTTATTCCTCTAGAACCATCTTGTTCCAGGTGCTTTTCAGACTATAACTACCCATTCTGAAGCAATAGAAATAGAGAGAAACAGCCTTATAAACAACTCGAGCCAGCTGCTCATGTTGTAGATTTCAAGGACACTCACCTGGTTGGCTTGTGGCTGACCTCCTGCAATCAGTCCTTTTTTAGCTTAAAGCAATGTTTCTTAATCCTGGTTGGTGTATCAGATTCACTTGGGGAGCTTGTTGTTAAAACTGCATGCACCATGGGCCCTGACTATTATCAGAATTTCCCTAAGCTGAGAGCTGGGGCCTAGGCAGGTGTATTTTTAACAAGCTCTCCAGGTAGTTCTGATAAGAAACCAGTATTGTTACTCTCATTTAAAAGCAACTGCTTCTGGATGAGGTAACATACTCAACTCAAGCATCAAGGACTATGTTTCATTCAGCATTATAAATCCCAAGATACCTTGATGTTCAGTGACTATTTGTTGTACTGACAAGTGACTTTTACCAAAAGCCTACAGAGCAGATATACACACAAATACATTGGGTGTGTCTAGTCTCGTAAGTAAACCACTTATAATTATTTTTAAATTAGGGAGCCAGTACAAATAAATTCAACTTAAAAATCTGAATAAATGCAATCTATATATCTAAAATTACACCTTTTCAGAGTTAATAGTAAATGTGTTAGCAATCAAAGAAAGAAAAACAGGGATACACACACACCCCAACTAGTGAAAATGAGTAAGAAAGAAAAGCAGTTAGTTCAGACCAAGTGAGAAATTTCTGACCCACAAATGTATTTATTTTCTCTGTAATCTCTAGACATATACTTTGGGTCTGATTGACTCACAAAACCACCCACAGGGTTGTCCGCCTAGATGGAAAAGCTGGAATTCTTTTCTGCAATTGAGAAATCCTTTTTTTATTACATTTATGACTTCCTCCAGCCATATTCCTCCCAGTAACCAGGACCTTTTCCTCCCCTTAAGTCTTATCACATTTAAACAGCACTTATATAATTTCTCTCTTCATGCTTCTATAGCTCATAATTTGTATTTCTCTCTTTTTTTTAATGTGTTCCAAGTTATATTTTTTGGTGGAAGGAGGTAATTAGGTTTATTTATTTATTCTTAGAGGAGGTACTGGGGATTGAACCCAGGACCTCATGCACACTAAGCCTGTGCTCTACCACTTGAGCTATACCCTCCCTTTATCACATTTAGTATCTCTCACAATCTCACACTTTGAGAGGAGCCAAGGACAAAGCATACAAATCCAGGTACCAAAAGAACTTATCTGCCATTTCAAGGTTTGCAATTTCTAACATTTCGTTATTATCTATGACTATTATTGAGTGCAAAAATAAACAAAACACTCATTATACTATACAATTTCTGTAGGAATTTTTACTAAAATCTCATTGGAGAATTTAACCAGTGTAATAAGGTGGAAAAACAACCAACCAAAAAGGCATCCAGTTTGGAAAAGATGAAGTAAACTGTCTGTATTCACAAATGACTTGCTCTTCTATGTAGAAACTCTTATGGAATCTATAAAATAGTAGAACTCATATGTGAGTTTAGCAAGGTTTCAAGGTACAAGATTGATAGACAAAATTTAAATGTATTACTATGTAGTAGAAATAAACTTTCCAAGATTTAAATTTAAAATACCATTTAAAGGAACATAAAAAATATATAAATAAAAACATAAAAATTTTCCTTTTCCCAGGGATAAATCTTACAAAAGATGTAAAAGACCAGTACACTGAAAACGGCAGTATACTGTGTTCATAGGTCAGCAGACTCAATGTTTTTAAGATGCAATTCTCCCCAAATGGATCTATAGATTTCATGCATTCAGAAACAAAATCCCAGCAGACTTTTTTGTAGAAATTGACAAGCGACTTCTAAAATTCATGTGGAAATGCAAAGGACCTAGAATAGCCAGAACAACTTCGGAAAAATAACAAAATGGGAGGACTCACTCTACCTGATTTCAAGATATCATAAACCTACAGTAATCAAGAGAGTATGATACTAGTATCAAGATAGGCAGATAGATCAATGGAATAGAATTGAGTGCTCAGAAAAAGGCCCACATATATATGGACAATGGATTTTTGACAGAGGTGCAAATGGCAACTCAGTAGAGAAAGGAGAGTCTTTTCAACATATGGTTGAAATAGTGATTGTGGAGGAATTCAATAGTCACACATGAAAAACAAACTTCAATACATACTCAACATATACAGAACAACTCAAAATGGATCAGAGACCTAACTGCAAAACCTAAAACTATACAACTTCTAGAAGAAAATATAGACAAAACTCTTTGCTACCTTGGGTAAGGCAAAGATTTCTTAGATATACCAGCAAGGAAAAAATGGATAAACTGGACTTTATCAAATTTGCAACATCTGCTCTTTGAAAGGCACCACTGACAGAATCAAAAGACCTGCAGACTAAGAGAAAATATGAGCAAATGATACAGCTAATAAAAGACTTGTACCCAGAATTAAGAATTCTCAGACTTCAATAAAAAGAAAACAATGGACAAAAGATTTGAACAAACACTTCATACAAACAAATATATCCATAGCTTGAAAACACATAAAAAGATGCTCAACAAGGAGGGGGAGTGTATGCTTAGCATGCAAGAGGTTCTGGGTTCAATCCCCAGTACCTCTATTAAAAAATAATTAAATTAATAAACCTAATTACCTCTACCCTTCAAAAAATAAAGTTTCAATAAAAACCTTATTTTAGAAAAAAGATGCTCAATATCATGCTTCATCAGGGAAATGCAAATAAAATCAAAATGAGATTCCATCATACACCTATTAGAATGGCAAAAATTAAAAAGACCACCCCAAGTGTTGACAAGAATTTAGAGTATCTAGTACTGTCATTCACTGCTAATGGGATTGTGATATAACCACGTTGGAAAACAACTGGATGTTTCTTAAAAATTTAAACATGCACCTACCATATGATCCAGCCATTCCACTCACTGGTATTTACCCAAGAAATATGAAAGCATATGTCCAAACAAAAACTTTTACATAATATTCATAGCAGCTTTATTTGTAACGACCCAAAACTGGAATCGATTCAAATGCCCATCAACTGATAAAGGAGTAAGCAAACGGTGGTATAGCCACAGAATGGAATACAAATTGTCAATAAAATTATAAACTATTGATACGAGCAACGTGTTGAATCTCAAAATACTTATGCTGACTGAAAAAAGCCAGACCAAAAAACTGTATGTACTAAATGATTCCATTTATATAAAATTCTAGAGAATTCAAACTAATCTATAGAAACAGAAAGCAGACTAATGTTTGGGGAGAGGGAGCACAGGGAATTTTCTACAGGTCCCGAGGACACTTTTGAGGGTAGTGGTTATGTTTATTAACTTGATTACATGCTGGTTTAGGGGTGTATACATATGTTAAAGGCATCGAATTGTAAACTGTAAATATGTACAGTTTATTGTTGGTTAATTGTATCTTAATAAAGCTGTTACAAAAAAAAAGTCAAGTCAATCATTTCCTCTCTCCTTTTCCATCAAGAAATTTAGAACACTTTCACTCAAATTTCTTCCCTCCTACTTTCATGTTAATGTTGTCTATTATTTTAATTCCTCTTTATTTATACACGTTAGCCATTAGTAGGAGTAGTAGTAGTACTAGCATAGACGATCTTTATTTCTGTTTACCGATGTGCTTACCAATTCATTTGCTTTTGGCATGCTGCTTTTTTCTTCCAGATTAGTTTT